ACAACTATAACGATGATGATGATGATGGCAACGATGATAGGAAGGAAAACAGTGATGACGATAACGTTGTTTCCAAGAAAAAAAGCAGCAGGAAAAGCAAAAACGGTGAAAACAGAAGTACTGAAAGAAGGGGTAAAAGCGGTAAAAAGAAACCAACAGTTAACCGAAGTGACGATGAAGATGACGATGACGACGACGATGACAATAAAGATGACAACCAAGACAGTAAGGAAAGCGATAATAATAGAGATGATGACGACGATGATAACAACAACGATGACGATGATGACGACAGCGAAGAAGATGACAATTTATTTGACAAGAAAGGAATAAGAAAACCATATAAGCTAGAAGAATTTGAAGATGCAGTAAAAATTGCAAGAGCCTTACGAGTCGACGATACATTAGACTTTTTCGAAGATATGAAGGTCGAGGTTAAAGATGTAGGTGGACAAAAAATTTTTTTTCATTTTTTAAGTATCAAAAGCACCATTTCAGCTCTAAAAAATTTTCTAATTAAAGATAAATAATCGAGACTTGCTTAGAAAGACTAAAAAAGAACAGTTTTTGGAGATTAAATTGACTAGTATTTCAAACTAGCCAACCATAAACAAGGTAATTCCAGGTGAAAAAACTGTACAACATAGAGGCGATTCAAGAAAACAGCGTGTTAATTTTCCAAGCCGTTTTTGCCGGAGCCTTAATTGCACTGTTTTGTATTCTCGGCATTTGGAGGGCCATTGCAACCAGAGAAAAGACTGTTTATGAAGCTGTTGAAGAGAAAGTTTAGCTAATCGGCTTTAAACCCGCAGTCACTGCATCAGCATTTTGTCGCCTCACCTCAGTCAGTGTTTGACAAACACCCTGTCATAGTCTTAAAAAATATTTTTACTTAACTTCTTACCAAAATATTCTGGTTGAAAATATGCATTTATTTGTAAGTCTCTATTTTTTGACATTTCGTTTGACCTTATTTTCTTCATTTTTTTTTCTGCAGTTTGTAAACTGTATAGACTGTACGCACAAAAGTCATTACAGTGGTTTCATCTAGCTTACTGTCTGACTTTGTTTTATGTGCAAACCAAATTTGTTTTTTGACTACCCGGTCTTTTTTTTCCTTTTTTATTTTTTTTTTTGTTTGATTATTAAAGCCATAAGGTGATTGGCTGTTATAATTGTTAAACGAATTTTTTACCAAGTGAAAAACGAAGAACTTGTGATAAATTTATGCCAATACAGCAATGATTTCAAAACTGTTCTACACTAATTTTATTTGCACTCTTGTAACGTATTTTCTAAGAGAATAATCTAAAAAACCTTAAATTTAGCTTTTTTTGAAGTGCATATGATTCATTTTCTACGTTTCCTAGCTGCACTGTATCAAAAGATTATCTATTTTCACGCCTTACATTACTGAGTGTAAGAGTTCACATTTCACACCAAATATGGCTTATTATTTTTAGAAGCTTAGTGTCGGGTCAGTTATGATCACAATTTTTTTTCAAGCTCTTTCTTCCTTTTCTACTTTTTTTTTTTCGGCGTATATTCTTCTTCTGTTTTCTAGCGACACTCGAATTTTGTGCTCAAACTATGCATACGATTGCATTGGGTTATTTTTCCCAATTGAAAAATTTCGATTATTTCTTTCAGCTTATTGATGTCTAAAGTGACACCGCCATTGCAGGGCGGTAACTGCGACTTTTATTGCTAACCCGTGATTATGTGATGGCTTTGTATGCTAACATTTTATGCTTGGTTCTTTAGTTTTACTAAACTATATGATGTTGAATGGTTTCAATAAAATAAATAAACTTGAGCTAATGTCATAAGCGTTATAAGAATGGTATTTTGAGGTTTCTGTTCATCACTTTCGACATTTTACAGAGCGTCATGCAAGTATTTTCTTTATCTAAACCGCTATTGATGAGGTCATCGCTGAGACACTATTTTCGCATTAAGCTATCATATTTCAACTATTTACAGTGGATAATTTAGCAACATTTAATTAAATTAGTAGATATTAAACTAGGGTTGAACTTGATATAAAATGAATGGTTTAATGCTGGTGAATTAGAATGTTTAGAAGAAATTCACATTCAGTGAGTGAAATATTACGCAAACCTTATTCACCAGCAATCTATAAAACCAAATATTGAAAGAAAATAAACCAATAAATTCAGTATTATTAGGTTACATCGAAATTTTTATTTATTGAACTACAGTTGCCGGGGTTGGCGGTGTCATCAGCAAATTGCTTGTGTTTCAAAAAAAAAAA